CTCTCCCCGCCCCCCTGCGTGAAGTCACGGTGTTTTCATTTCGTTCATTTATTTTTTGGCTAGAAGAAAATGGTTTTTTTTTCTATTTTTTTGATTTTTTTTGGGGGGGGCGAAATTGCACCGACCGGGCGTTGGAGCTACCGGACCCCGAAAGTCGCGGCGCGTTAAGGGCCGCGACTTTTTTTTTTAGCTGGGCGAGGTACAGGTGGTGTAATGTAAGGTATTTCCACTTAATTTTAAAGGCATTCTGTTAAGTCAAAAACTAATGATAAATAGGCAAAGATGGTGGTGTCAAAATTTGCTTGCCCACTCACTAATTAGTTTTTTTTCTTTTTTCACTTTTTGTTTTTCCTTTATTTCGGGGCATGAAAAAAAAAAAAAAAAATTCAAACCTTATTTGTAGGTTCTTTATTATCATGGCATTTGTCCAATCCAAAAAAAATGAAAAATCACCAAAGATGGCGGTGTCAAAAGCATGCTCGCCCTCAATAATTTCATTCATGTTTCATTTTTTCTAATTTTCATTATTATTATTATTTATTGTATTCTACTTGTATTTCAAAATCGGTAAAGAATTTAAATGTAACGTTGAGGCAAATGTTGTTCAGTTTATTCTTCTGCATAACATATTTTGTTTTCAAAAATTTTTGATTTTTTTTTTTTTTTTTTTTTTTTTGGAGGTTCGCATTCGGTCGAACGGCCGAACGTGTCAAGAGGGGGTCCCGAGCGCCGACAACCCTGTATATATACATGGTTACCAGGCCGAACGTTCGGGGGCCCCCGGGCTGACCCCCGAATATTCGGGCGTTCAGGGTCCCGTTAGGGGTCCGAACTTGGTCCCCGCCAAAAACTATTTCGAGGCTTTTTTTGTGTGTGTGAGTTCTGTATGACATATGCTCAATGCCATAAATTTTCAAGGCATTTTACCAAGCCAAAACAAAATGAAAAATCGCCAAAGATGGCGGTGTCAAAATGTGCTCGGCCACTCAGTTTGTTTGTTTTTTTCACTGTTGACTTTTTGTTTTGATTTTATTTTGGTGCCTCAACAATTTTATTATTTTTCGATTTTTTTTTATGAGCTTTATATTATGTGAAATACACACTGTAAATTTTCAGGGCATTTGGCTTTCCAAGAAAAAAACGAAAAATCGCCAAAGATGGGACTGTCGAACACGTGCTTGCCCACTCACTAATTTTAATTCTCTTTTCATTTTCTTTGTTATTTTTCTTATTATTATTTTTTCGTATTTCATTTTTATTTCAAATTTGGTAAGGAATTCAGATGTAACGCTGAGGCAAATGTTGTTCGTTTTATCTTTCTGCATAACATATCTTTTTCATAGATTTTTTGGAATTTTTGAATTTTTTTATTTAGGTTCGCGTTCGGCCCGAACAGCCGAATGCATCCCCAAGGGCAGGTTCGAGTTCGGGAGTTCGTCCGAAGCCGAATGCCGACAACCCTATATCTGATGAGTCGGTGAAACTCCAACGAAACAGTTTGCCACAGCCCCTCGTTTGTTGTCCTCTTCTCCCTCTCTGCCTAAGGTTTTCCGGGCAGCTCTGTTTGACTATATATCAAGGCCGCCCACGTGGATGTAGGTTGAGCGGCAACTGCTCCCACCCCCATGTGTCATATCGACCCACTTGCACACAGTATACTCTGTTTGATGATATATATGTATATTTTAGTCCACAAAAGGATGGAGGGCAAAAGACAACATACTCAACAGAGAATGCTCCAGCAATGTGTGTTGTCATGTTGACTATACACAGCTCCACAAAAAAAGCATGACTGAGCCAGATTGTTACATCAGACTTTGTGTGTGTGTGTGTGTGTCTGTGAGTGAGTGTGTGTGTGTGTGTGTGTGTGTGTGTGTGTGTGTGTGTGTGTGTGTGTGTGTGTGTGTGTGTGTG